GGGTGCCCAGGTCTGGAAAATGTATTCTAGGTGGGGTCTCACCAGTGTCTTATACAGTAGGATAAAGACTTCTGCCTTTCGATTGCTCAATGTATTTCTCGACTGGAACAGCTGACCTCTAGCCCTTTGCGCTGCAGCTTTGCATTTGTTGCCTGGCTTGTAATGCTCGGAGACTACTATCCCTAAATCCTTCGTTGAAGCTACGCGTGTTAGTTCGGCGGTTTCCACCTCCGCGCTTACTCTAACTGGACGTCAGTGTTCAATATGTGACACTTTGACGGGTTTAGGTCTAGGTCCCACATCTGAGTCCAACGCATAACCTTTGTTAGTTCTTCCTGAAGTTGGTCTCGCGAGCCTGAGTTAACTAATTTGACATCTTCGGCAAACACGAAAGTCTGGATGGACAAACCCTAAGTCATCGACGTACAGAAGGAAAAGTATCGGGCCTAGGACGGAGCGCTGTGGCACCCCACTGATGACTTTCTCCTCCGCTGATAATGTTTCTCAGGTCAGGTCAGGTCACGGGATTCACGGGCTAGGGAAGCGAAGTTTTCGAGTAGCCCGGGTTCTGGTGGTAGGTTTGTTGCTCACTGACGGACGGAGGTCCTCGGAGTAGTTGTCTGCTACTCGGTATCCGATTGTGTCTGAAACAGGAGACAATGAGGAATGCTACTGTTCAACTGTTCTTTTTCCGCTCGTACGTAACCAATGTTCAAGACCACACAAATGGGGTTCACTAAGGTTCTTGCCACCACACGCTTCACAGTGTTCCAGTGGAGCCCTCCGTTACAAAACCGTTTTAGACAGCCAGGACACACAACCAAACCATGCAAACATTCTTTCAGCACTCGGGGTGAAAGAGCAGAGAAAAGCTGTGTGTTAGATAGATAGGAGGAATGGGGGGTCTCCGCCCTCACCTTTCCAGAGTCACATCCGCAGCTTACTTGGCACTGGGCCGACAGGTTTACCCAGGGCTGCATGACGTGGACGCTCCGACCAGGATTTTGGTGTGTAGACGAATGCACTGTGTGTGGGGTGACCGGGTGCATGAGTGCTGTTTGCAGTTAGGGAGGCAGTACCCCTGTACCCTTACTCGACTCCGGTCTTCGACTGCGAGTGATTAACCGAGAGAGTGATTCTCCTGCCGAATCACCTGTACGTTTCATTTCTCTTTTGGTTTCTTTTTTCCTTTTTTCGTTCTTTTACTTTCCTTTCATTTTCCGCCTTTTTCTCATTTTTTTCCCTAATCGGTAGACAGGATAACTCGCTATTTTGATGGCTCCTGCGGTTGGGACCTGGAGGGTACCCCTCTTCTTCCTGTTGATATTATTATTATCATTTCTGCGTTCACCACCATGGGGCGTTGGGAGCCGATCCGAGTTTATCCTACCACCAATCACTCACTTTCGAGTGCTCCTCGCATTATTGTCTAGCCGGTGGGTTTCCTTTTTTTATCTTCATAGATATTTCTTTTCTGGGCCATGAGGGATAAAATTCCCGCGGCCTTGCTTGGATGGGGGTTGTGTCTAGTGGTGGCTGGTTTTTTATAACACCTGGGTGAGTTACCTCCGTGATACCTACCGAGTGATCAACCGTCTGGTCTCCGACCTAGTTCGCAGAATAAAGATCGGGCATCAGCGAGGACAGAGTAAGGTAAGAAATGGGGGGGGAGTCACATATCCACATCACCTCATCTGTAAACATACTCAATGTATGACAATCAAAGGCCGGTGCTCAGATGCCCCAGGTCGAGGTTGCTCCGATTGTCGGTAACGGTATGTCGAACGGCGCACAAGGGTACAGTTCGGCTATGTTGATCAAGTGGCTTTTTGAACGATTGTTTAGATTTGGCCTGGACCACTGTGGCTGGCAGTGAGTTCCAAGGGCGACTTACGCGTACCGAGAAACAGTGTTCCTGGGCTCTCAGTCTGGGACGCTGGCTCTCCAGTTTTATGGAGTGGCCGTGCAGTGCTCACGTAGGGGCCATCGCAAACAGATGTTTTTTGGGGTGCCCCTGAACGTTGAGCGCGTCCCTCAGGAGAATCAAGTCGCCCCTTACCCCCATCAGGTCAGGTCAGGTCAGGTCAGTTAAAGTCACAGGACTTGGGGCTGATGCCAATTTGAGTCCAGTTTCTTGCACCGTGAGCGTATCGTTCGCCTACGTATGCTTCAACAATAAAGTGTAGTGGCCTGAGACCGACAGTGTAACGTGCTCGAGAGTGTCACCATCTTCGGTCTGCCTGTTCCGCATGCATGCTTTCACATGATTGCAGGTATTGGTTGCTTGGAGCATTCGCTTGTGCATCCTTCTCCTATGTAGCATAGAATCCGCCAGGATCTTTGATATCCTGAGACCGCTTCTTCAGCTTAGTCTTTTATCTTTGTTTAAATCTCTACCACTTCCGGTGAATTAAACTTCACGTTAAACGGTGCGTGAGTTCAGAGCTACACCTTTCGCTCGCTAAGCATTTCCGCTTTCAGATACTCTCGAGCATAATCAGGCTAAACTCCGGTGCTTTCAGGGAACAATATATTTTCCCTTGACTAACCAGTTGTTCCTTCTGATTCATACTGGGCGATCGGAAAACACGGGATAATTAGAGATCGGATCGTCATTGCGCATCGTGATATTGCTTGTCCCCATCTCTAAAAGGGGATCCTTCACGAGCCGCTTTGTGGGCCCCTGGCTGCC